AAAGAAAAGTGAACACTTCTGCTGTTTGTTGTAGATCGAGGTAGATTTTTTTTGCAAATTAAAATGGTTCGACTTTTCATGTAGGACTTCTTTCAGGTTAAAGTATTTGCTCCACGCTTAAAATTGCGCTTGCTGAGCTCCTCTTCTTGCATCTAGTTTTCAAGTACCAGAAGTTGTTACATTTTCAGGAGCCATTTCATCCATTTGGCTGGTGGCCAGTATTTTCGGATTTCTTCTAGTTTCTCGCTTTTGATCTTGGCTAAAAGAAGCAAGCTAAAATTTTTTACTCTGCTGATTCCCCTTGTAGACCATTTCAATTTTATATGGATCACCTAGAATGCCCTAAAAAAAAAGTCTCTGCACCGTTGACTGAAGCTCAAGAGGTGCCAAAGGTTGACATCTGTCAATCAATAGGATTTGAAATGGCTTCCCAATGGCTTGAAAACACTATCTTTTATTTTTTAAGACTTTAAAGGTACCTTTTTCGCGCCTTTGACAACATCACTTCCAACTGCAAGAAAGGTACCGTTTTTGCGCTTTTGCGAACATCGCTTCCAACTGCAAAAAAGATTCCTTTCTGCGCCTTTCATGAGATCGCTTGAAACTGAAAAAAAGGTACCTCTTTCGCGGCGCTTTAAAACATCGTTTGGTAAAGTGAAAAATAGATGAAGAGCGGACAATATTGACGTCAAAATATCATTCACTCGAAAGCTGAAAATACCTCCCTTCTTTTTCAAAAAAGGTACCTTTTCTTAACTTTTAACGTCAACGACAAGCATAGACAAAAAAGGTAACAATTTTGCATTTTGTTCTACGAAAAATGAATGCAGAAACTTAGTTTTTCTGCTTCTTTTAAGTAGCAGCGTTGACCTTTTTGTAAAAACGTGGAATTGCCGGAATCTTTCACTGACAGTTTTCCAACACCTGGTAGTTTTGGGACGTTTTCTCGTTGCAGTGACGAAGTTTCAAGATAAATTCTCAAGTCTATGGTGAAAACAGCCCCATTAGCCGAGATAAGTCTCAAATATGTTGAACTGACATGTATTTGGTAAGATTTCTACTGAATTTCACGGGTTTTCGCGGATTTACCTGAATTTCGCGGCTCTGTGACTGAGCGAAATTTCAGAAGCCCTGCGCGGCAGGGTGGTAATGGTGGCTTTTCATCTCCCGGGAGTTGCAAGTTAAAAAGTTATTGCTTTGTTCTCTATAAAGTCGTCACTGCAAATTCAGGAGTAGCGTGTGTAATGTTGTTAAGTATTTTTATAATAGTCCGCATGTATTTTACCGTAAAGTGCAATCAGATAATCCTAGATGAAAGACATTTGTCCGCCCAAAAACGGGTTGTGTCCGAGCAAAAACAGGTTTGACCGGACAACTTGACCGGCGTCATGTGCGAAATTCTTTCAAGCCCTGTCCTCCATGCGAAATCCACCTACCAGGCAAATTGTGCAGAATGAAATACATATGTACATTCATGGATGGGTTGTTGAAACTGACTTCTTCACCATGATATCAAAATCGACCTCCAAACTGTTACTTTTCTTCCCAGGGGAAATCCAATAATTTATTAAGGGACAGGGATGCTTGTTGTCTTGCTTAGAGATGCAAAGTGTACATTTCAGTCTCACTTCCAAAGTTTACAACAAAAAAGAAATATTTTTATCCATACAGGTTTGTGGGCAAATAAATGTCTTTAAAATAAAACCAAACACCCTTATACTGAGTTCAAAATAGCATTTGATGTCAACATCTTTAGTGCAATTAAACCCCTGTAGGTCTGATTTCATGTTTTAGTTTGGGCTCCTTTCGGCCTGAGCAATGGCCAGAGTAGTCTTTTTTAGAGGTTGAATTCTTACTTCTGCCAAGCAACACGGTCCCTTTCATTAGGGAGTGTCCACCAACATGTTCTTTTGTGGTGATTATTACACATCTTCTCACTCAGCGAAAGATTACCTCTGTGTGGAACCTGTTATCCCACAAATAAAGTGATGTGTTGATTGGTTTGAAAGGCTCAAAGTCTATGTTCACTTTCTTCTCTTTGCCGTCATCTGTTACAATTGTTCCACAGTAAACCACAAGGCCATTGGTAGGAACTGTTATGATAAATACACAGCAACACACACAATAAGCAACAACAACAATATCTGCAAGGTTTACACTCAGTATTACTTCTAATGTCTATTTAAATGTTCTCAAAACATAGCCAAGAAAAGTCTTAATGATGCTGACAGTTTCGATGACTGTCAACCATCTTTAACAAAACTTGAAAATCATCAAAGATTAAGACTTTTCTTGGCTATGTTTCGAGGACATTTAAATAGATATTAACTTTACTAGCCTGATGAATTTCTTCAATAAATTACTCCTAATGATGTACTGTAAGTTGAGAATTCCTTGTGCGTTGAATATCTGTAAATACTCAGATGTAGGATATTTCTTTATGGGGAGCTACATTGTACCACCTAACTGCTTATCAAGGAGAATATTTCCCTCTGCATCTTTGTCAATTTTGACATGATACTGAGAGTGTAAGGGCTGTTTTTTCCGCCACAGAAATTAGCCAGCACTGTACTTGTATTTTGGGCTAATGTCCAGCTGCAAAGCATCTTGCACTAGCTGGGTACTACTTCAACAGTCAGTTGTTTCCAGCTTCATCCCTGCTATTTGGAAATAGTGAAACCATGTGCTTAAAAACTAAAGAAAGAAATAAGAGAAACAAACCTTTTGAATAAAGTTTCAGTATCTGCTGTACTGATGTAATAGCACTGAGAACAGAAAACCTGAAAGACAAAAGTATAATTTTACAGACAGTTCCCAATAATACTGTTACAGACATAACAAGTGATAGTCTAGCATTTCAAACACACACAGCTATAGTGCAATGCTCTAAGCCCAACTGCTTTCTTCAAACTTCATGAACATGAACAAGACAAAAACAGTAATTTCTTAATAACTGAACCAAAGAAAGTTACCTGCTGAAAGTGGAAATAAGTGGTAAAGCAGTAAGAAATTCATCTGCTAACATCTTTGCCACACGTGAGATTTGATCTTTTGGAGGGATCATCAAAGAGATCATAGTTGCTCCATTCCTACAAACAAGAATAAAACTCAGGTCAGGGGATCCCAGTTTACTAACTGTGCCCTACAATCTGTAGCTGCTTTGACCTTAAATTACATAAGAACATCCTTAAAAGCTGCAAGTCTTGCTTGCTTGTAGCTTAGATAAGAAATGAGGAGATGATTAATTCTACATGAAACAGGATTTCCTTGCTAAAAGTTTTTCTCTTCCTACGTTATCAACGCTTGAGTATTCTGATTCGTACTTGATGATTTGTTTCTAAATTGATTGAGTACGCAAATATAAATACACAAAAATCAAAGGCCTTGATTAAAGAGAAATTACATCATTGCTAGAGAGCAAAAACGTGATGAACATGAATTGTCATTTCAATCAGTGCTGCATATAAACCGCATGCTCATCACAAGACTCCTTTGCATACAATGAAAGTTTACAACACCCGGCCAGTTAGCCTCACCAGCAAAGTTTTGCTCATTAAGAATCTTCTTTCTATCAACCACTGAAGTATTCACTTGTTCCTAAGTAATCAATGCCAAGATTTCTGCCTAAGAATTTTTTGGGAGCCCTTCGGGCCCCTAAAATAAAAAGTTAGGAGCCTGAGCCACATTTCTAGGAGCCCATTCAAAAAAATCAAAAACTTTAATTATTGACATGTCAAACTTCTAGCACACGACAGCTGGTGCACTAATCAGTTGATCCATAAGCTTCAAATTTATTATTTATCCAACTCGAGGGCACAAACAGTAGCATAGAAAAGGGTCAGCCAACATTCAAGGGCAAATCACCTTTTTTATGTACTAGAGGTTTGTTTTACTTCATTGTATTTTGAGAACAGAACCCTGGAGCCAGGGTACCTAAATCCAGTTTTAATTTATTAGTTCACCAGGATCTTAAGTTGACAGTCTCGACCAGATCCTCAGACCTTGATTCACGCTTCTCGAAACCCAAGTCTCCCTCGCAGCTGTTTCTGTCTCATCACACAATGCTAAGGAGCATTGAATGACAAGACAAAAACAGAAGACACTCGAAACTTGAACGAATTGAGTTTTGAAAACGTGAAAATCTAGTCTTGAGAAAAAGACAACCAACAATTTTTTTTATATTCACAGGGCTGTCACTAAGATTTCAAGTTGCCGTTTAAATACAACAAGTAGGTGGGGAATCAAATGGCTAGCAATTTTTTTGATTCTATTTTTCTTCTATTTGAAAGTAGCCGGGGGCCTTGAAGTTCTTAGTAGCCGGAGGAAATCCCTGGCCCCCCACATCTCAATGACAGCCGTGTATTCATTACTTGAAAAGATTTCGAGCAATGATTTATTTCTCAAAAAAAATAACAATAACCATTCACATGTAGAGCAAATGCACCAACTAACAACACTTGCATGTACAATTTAAGCGAAGTTAAGTTCACATTTTTAGGCGATAAAAAAGGACCAATGAAAGGTTTTTTATCTTGAAGTTTGGAAAAGTGATTCAATATTTTTGTATCAAGTCTCTCTTTTGAACTATCAAAAAGGTATTTGTGTTTGTGAAGGCATGTTTTCACATACGTCATGCGAGACAGCGTAAATTAATAAGAGATTAAAATATGACCTTGAATCTTGAATAGCTGCTGTAAATCCTTTTCAAAAACTGTAATGTTTTTGTGCGAGCCTTTCAAAAATTACCACAAAACATACAACAAAAAATAGAGGCTTATATTAAGCAGAATAAATGATAAAATAAATCTCCGAGTGTACTCTTCGTGTTCATAGTAAGATAGAAAATTCTACAAACTTGCAAAAGTAAAATTTGCATACCATAAAACTTGAAACCTCTTGCTTTCTCCACGCATCGCGACTTTCTATCGGTTTTTAATACATGCAATACCGACCTGATATTTCTATCGCTTGGGAAAAAGTCATGATTTTAATACCAAAGTTTTTACAAGACTATTATCAAAATTCACTCCAGGCCATTTTCAGACGAGAAACTTCAACTGCACTGCAGCAGAAGTCATAGAAGCGAAGCTTGTTTGTTTACCTTTTATCGGCGGAAATAATTTTCGCCCACAGCCAACAACCAAACATTTTCCATTTTTGTTTCACAAGTGCAGAATGAGCAGGGAGTTTGTTCACCTGAAGTTGGCCTGAGAATCATAAGTTTTAAGTGCCTGTTCTGGCTCCCTGGGCAAATGGTAGGTGCCTTTGGTAAGTGGGCGCCCGTTAGGAAGCAGGTCTGTCTTTATCATCATCATCACTTTTTGCGTGAACTTGTTTAAAAACAAATAACTTGTTCAAAGTGTACCATTGCATAAGGCAATTAAGGGTGCTTACCATTCCTCAAAACTGGTTGGCCAGACCAGTCCTGTTTCAAAGAGAATTTCAGTGTTGATCATGACTTTCCCACCAGATCAGCCAATTCCTAACTGACTCTAAAACGTCCATTTTATGTTAAAAAAGGCCAGTCCAGCATGCAGCCAGTTCTGTCCAGCACAATCCAATTCACCTTCTGAGCGTCAGATTTCACGTGTCATTTCTCGTGACTTTTGATGAGCTTTGTTGTAAACAAACCTTGAAAGTTCGGACATCTGTTCTCTTCCACATACTGTACTTGTACAAACTGAGTTGCTATTTCAAGTTCATGTTAACTTATATATTTTCCTTCCCTTTTCACTGTTTGAAAATTGAATAGTTTAATGTTCAAAATGTCAAAGCAGAAGATCTGGAGTGACTTTAACCGCCTTGAATGTGGTTAAACACGTGTGGAAATCTCTTCAGTTGAAAGAACGGTTTTTGCACAGTGGATCTAAACTTGAAAATAATGAAACTAATGATGCAGACACGTTTATAATTCATGATACTACAGTGTGCTTAAATTTTTGTCTCGACTGCCTTTTATACACTTACATATAAGTAAGCTTATGCTTATCTTGGCTGAAGTATAGTACACTGCCTCCTTTTGTCTCTACATGATTAACAGCAACTGTCGGTAAATATTGACCAAAATCGACTTTTTGTGACACAAGTTCAAAATTCAAATTTCGCTCATTTTTGGCTCATCGATAACCCTTAATGAGTAATGAAACATGCTGTAGTTAGTTTTCCCAAATAACGTGTTCTTTTGTTAAAATTCGAGAAAACTCATTTTGCCCGGTCAGAGCTCAAAATCCACTTCTGGAAAAGCAAATTTTACACAAATTTCATTGACTTGTACGTCAAACCACAACATTTTGGCAGCCTTTGAAGAACACGAATAGTTTTTATGACCCTTTCTTTCTTACAAGATGATAGCGGAGCTCTCGCGCGCGAAGCGCGCCAGCGGAGCACCATGGGTAAGAAAATTTGGTAAACTATCCATCCGATAAAATTTGGTTATGACGTAGCGTACGCCCGCCCGCCCGCCCGCCCGCCCGCCCACCCGTACACACACTTCATGTAAGCCGATGTCAAGTGTCACACTTGTCAGGACCGTGAAATAAATAACAACGGAGACTAATGCCGCTGGAAGAAAAACATGAAAATTATATAGCGGCGGTTAGAAAATGAAGAATGCTATCGGCTACTAATGTGAAAAAGCAGCGGCAGTGAAAAAATAGAATGAACAGGAACACAAACATTTCCTCCATAAAACGCGTAAATAGGAAGCTAAAAAGAAGTTTCACGTTAGTCGTGTAAAACAACGGTGAAATGTACAAAAAAAAAACTGCTGCACGTGCAGAGTTGTTTTTTTTGCTAATTAGAAAAAAAGTGTGCTGCACGTGCAAAGTTGTTTTTTTGCTAATTAGATCTATTGTTGTTGTTTTTAGCGTCTTCGTTGCTTTCAACTTGTCTTTAGTATTCATCGATTTTATATTTTCTTTGAGGAATCCATAAATATTAAAGAGAGCTTCGCTTTTAGCCCTGGCTAAATCTATATATTAAATTTGTGAAAGCTGTAATAATGTTGTGGCCAAAAAGGCATTGTTAAAAATAGGCCCTATTGACAATTTTTACCATTCAAAATTATAGCGATAAAATAATGCAAATTTTTACAATGTGCTATAACTTAGAATTTTGCAAATTGACTTTCTACGGCTTAACTAGGCCCCAATCTATCAGAAAATCAAAACAAATCTCTGGGCAAACGATTTTAAGTAGCCCGCAAGACCTCGAGGCATTTTAGTATTACTAATGCTAAAGCAGGAGTAGTTGCAGCATGAGTATGAACTATTAAAATGTCAAATGCTCCTAAATGGACATCTATAGATCCCTTGCATTGGCATTGGAAAAAACTCTCTGGCCCACTATGAACTAGCCTGTTCCAGGCGTAGTGGACAGTGGCACAAAATAAAGAACGGAGGAAAACAAACGTGGAAGAGAGTAAGAGGGAGAGAGTAGGAGGAGGAAAAGAGGTTCTTTCGCCCTCTCTCCCTAACCCCACCCTTTCACCATTTTTTCTAGCTCACTTTTCTTTGCGTTTTCCCAACTATCTGAAGGCCTGTTACAGGTTAACTACGTGCCTTCCCTCATTTCCAACTTTTTATGGTATATATTCAGCTTGAGCGTCGAGCACTTTTGGCACTTTGTTATTGATCAGCAGGAACAGATTTGGTAGTACTAACTTTTCAACTGCTTTTAGACTGTGAAAATGTCATTTTTTATCTCTCCCCCGTCTCACTGACTCTCCCCCCCACTCCCTGCTCCAGGCAAGAGAGAACGACCATTTGCTTTGCTCCAGACCATTTGTTCGACTATTTGCACCTCCTTAACTGCACATGTGGACGGTGCACCGCCAACGTCTACCCCTGTTCAAGGCCTTTCATCTACAAAAATACCACGTTCAAGATGCTTTGAATTGTATAACCTGTTTAAGAATGAAGGCCTCCAAAACCTTGCCTTTGTCTTTGTCACAAGACCAAATTAGACTGAGAGCCTTAGTCTGCTCTACATAAGTATCGTGTAGATCTCCAGAAGAATTGTTTGCAGCCAGCCCTAAAACCCCCAAGAGACTTTGCCTGCCGCTGGTCGATATATAGAAAGGTTATTCCAAAGAACTGCTCTGGGGTAGAGGAATAGTGAGTTTGCTGTTGGTGTCCCTTAAAAAGTAACTAGAGATATAGCAACGATCTGCCATTGCTACAATCTACTATGCACTTAATAAGGCCCCTCAAGGTACTTACGATATAAGATGCATAGTCTTCGATACACACGTCTCTCACCGCTCTTTGACGAAACATCCCTAGTGGCAGATAGCAATGCTGGAGAGGAAGCTGCATCACAGGCTTTTGGACACAAGGCTTTTCTACTATTGACATGGGTAAACCGGTCGCTTCACGGTTTGGGCTAATGGTGAACAGAATTTAGGACTGATGAATTTTGATTCTGTTCAGTAATGGCGCTTACCATTTGCCTAAGTCAGTTTCGTTTAATGAAAAAGGGCCTCGAAAGCCTGAAACTAACATTCAAAAAAGGTTTGTAGACATGAAATCCTAATTTCAGCCTGGAATTTTCCAACCGGGAAAATAGGAATGCCTTTTCAGACGTTCCGTTTGTTTCAGGAATTTTCCACTGAAATGTCGAAAACAACGCGAAACTGAGTTAATGGTAAGCCTGGCAAAGCACCAAAGTGTCTTCTTAGTTTGTTTTAATGGGTCATATATAGAGTCATGCAGTAGCTTCATGATTCATACACGTTGTCATACAAGAAAATACAGTAGGCTCCTCTTTGACATCCACTTAGCTCTTTTTCAGTTTTGAGAGCCCACAAGGGCAAAAACTTCGAAAAGAACTATTGCACCAATACTTAGTCGGAAATAATTAATTGCTTCAAGGAAATTAGTTTCTATAAACCAAATGGCATTGTTTGGCGATGATTTAATTCCTAATCCCGCAATACAAAAATTCATTCAGTTATCAGTTTTAGTTTTTAGATTTTTTTCTGTTTATATACCATTTTTTGAGGGAAATCGCCAGTCTGAAACTGAACATGAAAGTGTGTGACGCTATCCTGGGGACGCTATATGTTGTGTCTGAAGAAAATGCTGCAATCAATGTAACACATTTACTGAAAGACTTAATTTCGATTTGGCTTTTAATCTGCCTTTAAGTACATGTTTAAAGTGTATCTATCAGTAACACTGGCGTGATAGATTGGGGCCTAGTAATGCCGTAGAGAGTCAATTTGTGAAATTCTAAGGTATAGCCCGCGGTTAAAATTTGCATTATTTTATCCTCATAATTTGGAACGGTAAAAATTGCTAATAGGGCCCATTTTTAACAATACCTTTTTGGCCACAAAAGTATTCTAGCTTTCACAAATGTATCATTTTATAAAAAAGAAAGAGTCATAAAAACTATTCGTGTTCTTCAAAGACAGCTAAATCGTTGTAGTTTGACGTACGAGTCAATGAAATTTCTGTAAAATTTCACTTTACCGGAAGTGGATTCTGAGCTCCCAACAGGCAAAATGAGTTTTCTCGAATTTTAACAAAAGAACATGTTAGTTAGGAAAACTAACTACAGCATGTTTCATTACTCATTAAGGGTTATCGATGAGCCAAAAATGAGCGAAATCAAATTTTGAACTTGTGCCGACCGTGGGTCGATATTTACTGAAAACTGCTCTTAAATACAAACCCAGTACATGTTCACAAAAGCCTGCACTTTTTTGGTACAGATATGTGAACAGCTTCTTGATTCAAATTCAGTAAGTAAAAACCATCAACATAACTGTCATCAAAAGAATAGAGTCCCAGCTTGCCATAATATACGTTGAAAAGGAAAATTTCAACCACAAATGGCCAAACGGTCTTTATAGCGAAAATGGATTGGAAATTAATTAATAATAGTGTGTGATCGTGTGTGATCATGAATTTTGAAATGAGAATTATGTTTGTATCATGAAATTTGCCTACATCACCAGTTTTATCTCTTTCGAGGTTTAGTTCCAATGTTAAAACCATTTCAGCTGCTGAGATGGGAATTTCCACTGCAAGCACTCCTCATTCCTGCAGTTTTGCAATGCTCTTGGCCTTAAAATCACTCTTGTTCTTCTCCTTAGACATTTTTGAACCTCATACTTTTCAATTTTCAAACAGCGAAAGGGAAATAACATTTATAAATTAGAGCAATCGAACTTGAAATAGCGAGTTGTAACGCGAACAAGTACAGTATGTGGCAGAGAATGGATGTCCGAACTTTAGGGGTTTGTTTACAACAAAGGTCATCAAAAGTCACGTGAAACTACACGTGAAATCTGATGCTCAGAAGGTAAATTATAAGGAGAATTCCACTATTAATCAGGCCCCAGTTGTTAAAAATTGTTTAGTGCTATCCATCAGATAAATATATCCAGCGGATAAGTATTAGCGAAACCAATTGCACTATCCACTGGATAGAGATCTGTGCAGTGGATAGTGCTATCCACCTTTTGAACAACTGGTGCCAGGACTCCCCAGGCAGATCAGTTCACTTTTAAATGATATTTATGGATATGATGGGTTTTAGTAAAAATTCGAGAAAAGACTAATTTTTAATTTTCAACTCTTGGAAAAGCACCTAAGTTAAGTATAACACTAGTTTGGACACAACAAGGCTATGAGTGAATTTTGTTGTTTTTGGAATTAAGTAAAAGATTTAAGCTTAGTGTCAATTTCAAATACACAAACTAACTCAACACAAACACTACCCAAAAATAACTTCATAACCTATCTAGCTCCCCGTTTACCGATAAATAGGGGTCCTTGATTTTCAAAGCCCAAACGCATGGCTAATTTTAGAATTGTTTTAAGTCTCAAGTCAAAATTTTGAAAATTTTTTAAGCTTAATTAATTTTCAGCTGGAGCTCAAAGTTGCTCAAGTTCTCTATAATCAACCCTCAAAGTTAAAATTTTTGTTCAGTGGCCATTTGGCAACCAGCTCTTTGGGTTTAGTCGCCAGGGGAAATTTTTAGGCGCCAAATTATATTAATAAATTAATATATCAAAATTGTCATTAACAAAAGTAGTTAGCAAGTTTAACTTAAAATGCAGCACCGTCTATAAATTACTCGTTTATTGTGCAAGGCACTAGTTACTGACAGTCTGAGAATAAGGTTTGCAGATTCATCTCCTTGAATCAATACTGAAACGGAATTGTAAAGACAATTACCATTTCCAGTTGTCTTTAGGGCCTTCAATCCTTCTGTATAATCCCCAGTTGGTATATGAGAGCAGAACTTAACTCATCCTCTGTTAATGTGTTCAAAATTTCCCAGTCGCAACTTGATAGGTGACCTATTTTTTTCTGATATTTGTTTCGCATTTCTTTCGTGACTTTTGTTGATGATGGACTTGTTTCCTCAATATCGCTAGACATTGCAAAAGCCTGACAAAGGCAGGAGAGTATAGGAAGATCAACAAGTTTTCTAAATCAAATCATTGCTTTATAGAGACAACATCGCACAAGTGAAAATTTTGCAACGAGTTGTACTGGGAAAAAATGTTTTTCCCAATCCATTGAAAGGAACCCAAACAAAAATGCCGCTTACGAAATAATAAATTTTCTTTTTCCTTTATCACCGCTACAGGTGTTTAACAAAAAAATTTTTTGCAACAACCATAAGCTGTCAGTTTTGCGATTTTTAGTTTCACTTACAATTATCGCTTTCGTTTACAAAACTGCAATTCAACTCGCAGCACGGTTCACATGCTAGGGTTATTGCACAATGTTCTGTGTTGACTTTGCACCAATTTGGCTTTCCCTCTTCATGTTATTAGATTGTTTACTGATTCAAAATATTTATAATATGTAGTCCAGTTAAAAAAACCACCAAACTTGGCCAGACAAGCATTCCTAAGATATCGAAGAAATCGTCACTGTCGACAAACAAGGCCCTTCGATTGCATGCCATTTGTCACATGTCAAAAGTTAAAATGTCACGTGCAAGGCAACAGTCTGAAGGCGATTGGGCAAACAAATGCAAGTCAAGTTTCATTGATGTTCATTTTCAAAACGCTTAGCTCTGAGACTTTTTTAAGTTCTCAATTTAGCATGTTTTTCAACAGAAAAGTAAAAAGTAATGGAACCCAAAATAAATCAGCTAGAATAAATGTTCTTTTTATTTCAGTAGAAGTGATTACCATTTCTGTTTCTATACACAATAACACGCACCTGTTCTTCACGGTCGCCAACTTGGCAACTAATCTCCAAATCAAGTCGCCAGTTCCAAAATTTTAGGCGCCATGGCGACTAAAATGGTCGCAACTTGGAGGGCTGATAATTCTTATGTGCGAAACTTTTTAGCACTAACAAGAATCTATCATGACAGCTTCCTGGTTTAGGTATCTATATAGGACCATATAGATTACCACAAACCCATATTTACGCTTATTGTTGGTTTTCACATGACGTCACTAAAATTCAACCTACAAAACTATCCATCCTACTGAGATTTTTCTTTCACGGTGTATTAGAGCAGCTGAAAACTAATTTTCAAACCAATTCTCACTTCAAAAGGTTTCTTGGTTTTGTAATAGAGTACGCTTGAATTTGTAAGCTTTTGCGTGATGCAGCATTTACATGACGGCTGAGAGAGCTGTCATTTATGTTAAAAAAGTGACTTTTTTCGAGGAATTTTGCTATCTAAACAGTTCAAGTATTAGAAAAAGTATTACTTTAATGTTGATGAGTTCCTCTAGGAGTAAATTCACACTTTTGTAGCAAAACTCGGTAACAGATGTCTCTGTTGGTGTTCGTCCTCCATGTTGGAGCTCATCCGGATGAGCTCCAGCACAGGCAGCCCAAGCGCACTATGTTTGGGTTCGGGCTTCAGAGGTCATTTGGTCGGAATATACTAGAATTATTGGTGTATTATCTGATGCCAAATAAATGCAAACATCTTAAAGATACGAGGTCTTCTTGTTTGTCTATCTGTACTAGTAGCCTTTAAGATAACGAAGGTCGAGATTTCTTGCATTATTACATGTGATTCGGGCCCTTATTGTTGGAATTTTATCACATGTCAGACATGTATTCGACTCTACAATGCTAAGAAAAAAAAATCACGATCACGCAAAATATTGATTCAAAAATCTCCCTTACCTTTAGTTCATAGCCACTCTGTGTCCTACAGCCGGTTTAAACGCCATTTAGTCGAGTTTCTTTCCATCGAGTACTGAACACTATAAAAGAAGGGAAGGCTGGAGATCTTCCAACCGACCCTCGCCGTGCGAAGGCCAATAAATTCCAAACAAAGCGACCGATCTCCCTAAAATTGTCACTAGCGAGACCAAAGAGTGTATATCTACCCGTTCGACGAGCGCCAGTTTCTAAATTCGGCTGCATGAGCCCAAGGAGCGCTGCATTTCGCATCGATTCTTGCCAGCTTCGCTTCGCCATGATGCGTAATCTGACTGTTACCCTACGTGTGAGCTGTTTCCGGTTGAATTAAACGCATCAGCTCCCCCCATAGTGTCGGTTTGCAATAGGGCAAAAGTAACGACCCTCCCCTGCGAGAGTGACGTTTTGTCGATCTGACGCGGTCGCTAAGCTCCAAGATTCGAATCTCGTAGGATAACAGTCTGATTATGCATCATGGCGAAGAGAAGCTGGCCAGAATCGATGCGAAATGCAGCACTCCTCAGGCTCATGCAGCCGAATTTAGAAACTGGCGCTTGTCGAACGGGTAGATATACGCTCTTTGGTCTCGCTGGTGGCAATTTTAGGGAGATTGGTCGCTTTGTTTGGAATTTATTGGCCTTTGCACGGCGAGGGTCGGTTGGAAGGTCTTGGAAGGTCTCCAGCCTTCCCTTCTTTTATAGTGTTCAGTACTTGATGGAAAGAAACTCGACCAAACGGCGTTTAAACCGGCCGTAGGACACTGAGTGGCTATGAACTAAAGGTAAGGGACATTTTTGAATCAATATTTTGCGTGATCGTGATTTTTTTCTTAGCATTGTAGAGTCGAATACATGTCTGACATGTGATAAAATTCGAACAATAAGGGCCCAAATCACATGTAATAATGCAAGAAATCTCGACCATCGTTATCTTAAAAGCTACTAGTACAGATAGACAAACAAGAAGACCTCGTATCTTTAAGATTTTTGCATTTATTTGGCATCAGATAATACACTAATAATTCTAGTATATTCCGACCAAATGACCTCTGAAGCCTGAACCCAAACATAGTGCGCTTGGGCTGCCTGTGGCTCCAGCAGGGCGTCTCCATACGAAGCTCTATAAATTTGGGTAAAACATTTCCTCAGATATCTCGTATACGAATTATTCCTTCGACCCAAATCTTGGCGAGGGTCTTTGCATATTTACCTCCTTTCATTTCCCAGATTCTGGACTTTATCTATCGAATAGTTTTGATTTTTATTTTGATCTATTTTGAATGGCGTGACACTGAAAACCAGCAATATATATTGCTTCGTAAAAGAAAAGACGATTATAAACGCATCCCTTTACTTGGTATGATGTTCGATGTTCGATCGTTTCATGAGTACGACCAACAGAACGTTACGTTCTCTAAGGACCCGTAAGTTGATTATTGGTATTCACTATATTCATTTTACATCTGTACTTACCCCCGTGCAGCTTCTAAACTTTTAATGAGTTTCTTGATCTTCCATATTTCGACATTTCTATCGGCTGCCTCGGTCGTGTTGTCGGCGAACATGGTTCACAGTCGAAGATCTCAGAGATTCAAAGATTTGAGTTAAATCTGTCAAAAACGGATTCAGCACAAAAATATAAGACAGTCACTGCTAATTTCCTTGAATACAATTAGAATCGTCCTCGAAGATCAAGCAGTTTTTTTTTGGTGAAGGAAATAACCGCGCTTTTGTTTTGCCGCCAATGCAAGCAAATGGTACAACTCTTTTCCTGCCTCGTACCCAGACGTCTCTCTCGATGTGCGCGCAAAGGAAGGCGGGAAGGAGACACACCAGTCACTCGTTTCGCGCTCGCCTCTGCCATGCGAAAAACGAAGCGCCTGAGGAGGAGGCTGACTCTTTTCCATATTTGGAAAAACGTGGAAGGGAAGTTTTACAAATTTTCCTTAGAGACGGGGGAGGGGAGAGTAGAATTGTTTAGCATTTCCGGTTTCCGCGGGTATCTTCTGTTGTTGTGTGGGGAAAAAACGGAGAGAAAAAATTAAAAATTAAACATATTCTCATGTTTCTATAAGGTAAAATTCCTGGGTAACGAAAAGAAAACTCGATAGAAGCTCGAGAGCTCCAGGAGGAAGGAATGATTCAGCAATCCTCTTGGCCGTGGCGTCCGCGCTAACCGTTACGAAGAGGAATGCTTTTCACTCCCCTCAAGGAAACGCCGCTTCCTTTCTACATCAACGCGGCCCTTTTTGAAGCTTTCTCTTGATTGTGTCTATTTTTTTATGGCTTTTATTTTGTATTTTGATATAGAAGGTGACATTTGGGGAAAATCAACTTGTACTGTTTACGGCTTCCTAACAAGAGATAATGAGCTAAGTCATCCTCTCTTGCTTCCTAAGTATGACGACTAAATAAAGAAACGGGAAGAAAGATTACTTCATTCAGACGGTGATGTTCTCAAAAAGGAAGTTTTTGCGCAGATGGGACGAAAATTTCCAAAGCGCCGTGGCGCATAGAATAATCAGATTTGACGTTTTCCTAGCTTGAGCGTTTACTTCTCTGAATTCTGTCACTCTTCTCTTCTCAGACGATTCGGCTTGAGAAATGCTGGTCAGACTACAAGAACGCCAAGCCACTAGTGGGACGTACTGGAAAGGAATAGCTTGATTGCTACTTGCATAATAGGGATATTGAGCGTATGCTGCCGATAGATTCTGGGAATTTCTTGGTCCCGATTTCTGTAGCGGAACTTGAGTCTCAGTTTTCGAAATTTCAATGGGTTCAGTATTATTTTCCCGAAAATTTTAGATGCAATTTAACGTTTTAGGAAAGTGAGAGTTTTTCTACTTTCCTCTCTCTGTTACATTTTTGAATCTAAAAATTTTAGGTTTCCTTTCTCTACGAAAAACAGCCCAACTTGGGGAGTGAAATGTGAAAAAATAAAGTTTAGACAGTCTTAGGAAAACTATTAGACAAGCTTCGAAAATTGTACATGAAATTTGTAGTCGTCCTAAACCAATAGAAAATTGTAGGCCTTGTTTGCTTTTCCGAACAGATATTTTACAGAAAACAGTCGTTTTTGGCAATGATTGTGTCGGGCCATGTGGCGCAATCAACGCGAAATCACACAAAAAAAATGCTTAACGTGTGCCACAGTTTCCTGTTTTTGCCATTTGCTGCCTCCCAACTGGCGGGATTGTTCTTGTGGTTAGATGAACCATTGATAAACCCTACTACTTGGTTCTGGGAATGTCATGGGTAATTCTTTTGTTTTCTTTGATGTATCCACAGTGATTTCCCACGGACAGTTTCACTGTGGGAAGAGAGGTTACACACAAACACTGATTTCCCTTAGGTAAAATCCTACTTTCCCTTAGGCAAAAGGGCTAGTGGAACCGCAGCTATTGCCTCTCTCATTTACGCACGTAAATTTTACGTGCGTTCGCACGGAGGAATTACGCGACAGTGGAAATCGATCAACGTTATAAAAAGGGTCAAGTGAGATGTTACGATTTGTGTTTATTTTAGTGTTTTGACCAAGTCATCAGCTATGGCAAGCATCTTAAACATCGGCCTTGCCAGCTAAAAAAGAAAGGGCAGTCAGCATTGCGGCCACGGCAAACAACCTTTCATTTGAATTATTTTAGACCTGGTTTGCCTAATAAGGTTATCTCCCCTTTCCTTCCGCACTACAGTAACAAAGTAAGGATCAAGAAGTACTAAGGGCAGCTCAGGTTTTTTTTTCCACCGATTACCAAGAAAAAATATACCGTCACACGTTTGCGTGGCCGTGACGGGAAAGGACAACATTAGTTGGGAACCACAGTAGAAGGACACAGAATGAGTTATCTCATAATGTGACTCCTTTTTTGAAGTCCATGGTTTGCGATAACTCAAAACCTGGCTTGAAGGGCAAAGCCTTATAGCCCACGATTTGGGAACCACATTTCCCGTTGTCGCAAAATACGGTGTGAGATTTGAAGGACACAGATTGAGTTATTTCAAAATGTGACTCCTTTTTGGAAGTCCACAGTTTGCGATAACTCAAAACCTGGCTTGAAGAGCAAAGCTTATATAGTCCACGATTTGGGAACCACATTTCGCGCTGTCGCAAAATACGGTGTTAAATTGGAAGGACACAGATTGAGTTATCTCAAAATGTGTCTCCTCTTTTGAATTCTTTCGTGTCCACGACCTGGGCAACTCATTTTTTTGCTGTCGCAAAATGCGGTAATTAATTGGAAGGACACTGATTGAGTTATCTCAAAATATGACTCTTTCAGTTTGCCTTAGTTTGCGTTATTTTTTGGCGCAAACCATGGTGTTGGAACATAGAACATAGATTGAGTTAACGCAAAATACGTCCCATTTGTCACACCACATTATGCGTTAGCGCAAACCTTGGACCTTTTAAAGTGCACTTTTTTTTTGCCAAGAACGTTTTTCTGCTGCTGATCGAGTCAATTGGGTGGACGCGATTTGCGAACTAAAAAACAGGGGCGTTACAACGCCGTATTTTGCAATAACGCAAAATGTAGTGTCAAAGCATCACCACATTTTGCAATGTCGCAAACTGAGACTTCTGCATCAAGACCATCTTTTGAAACGCATATGCTATTTCACCCATGTGTCTTCCAAACCTAATTGTACTGACCTAGGGGTACCCAACGTCAATTTTCGGAAAATATCTGTTCGGAAGACGATTTGAGATCTAGAATTTTCGGAACATTTGTTGTAAGATTTCTTGCTTGCCTGCTTCTCCTGGGATTTTCGAACATCTAAAAATGGTATAATTGCCCAATTTTAACGGATTTTTACCCTTAAAACGTCACCTAGAATTTTCGAGAGCCTTTTTTCTGGCTGAAATTTTCGAAAAGGTAAGTTTTGATCCCTATAATTTTCGGATCACTAGACTTTCAGCTAGGAAATCCGAGCAGATGAAAAATTTTTAGGGGATAAAAATATGCCTATATCTACCTTTGAAATACTAAAATACGTTTAACAATGCTATGTTTAAGAGGTTTTGAACGATATTCTCGTTGGGTGCCCCTGACTGACTGCGACAGTATGTGGGCATGAACGAGTTGAATTTACTGAATGCTGACAAGCTTCCCGCGTTTTATATTTTTAACAGGACTGTTCTTATCTGTCCACGTAGTTGGATGTGTTGGACAAGTCTTTCCATTGAGTCCAGATGGGGTCGAGAAATACCCCTAACTGAAATCACGAAAAGTTGAAGTCTTATTGCTGTAGCATACATGTTAGTTATGAAGTGGATAGTTTTGTCAAACATAACTTGAAAGTTTTCTTTTTTGGCCTGTGTCATTCTGTGATCCCTGACCGCCGAACTAAAACTCGGGGAGGGAGATGAGAGAAGGGGGGGATTGGGTCAGTTTTTGCTGGGTATGTGCCGCTGGCCTTTCAGAACCCCTAGCCCATTATATTGTCTATTCTGTAGACCCCAAAGACCCAATTTTGGCGCTCACATTTGTCACTTTTTGTTTATGCATATAAACCCATATAAAGCCAAATTTTCCTCCGCGAATCGTCTTTTGAATTCCTTGTTATCACAACATTCTTTATTCCTAAAAATCCCAAATTGTGCGACCAATTCTATACAGTCGAACCCGCTTTACGGATACACGCTTATTGCGGACACCTCATTATTATGGTCGAGAGTTTTCTCAGTTTTCCCTGTGGAAAACCCTTATTACATTTTATATAAATCCAGCCCCCTTAACACGGACACACCCATTAATGCCGACAACGGGCATTCGTTTATCTCGCTAGTGCCGACATTTCTGTTGTAAATCTTTCCTTTATCAAAAAAAAAATACCGTAAGGTGACGGCATGTCGATGGTCCCAGCGCGCGGTACCGTACACCGGATAGGATGAATCGTTGACGTCAATTTCAGACTCTTTTGGCATCAAACAAAGTTATGCAGAGAACGGTTCATGATTAAGTTATGTATAAATGAGCGAAATTGGGTGTTTCCGCAGACATAGTCAGCGGTTGAAGATGTTTAATTTAACAATAAAAATGTTCTGATTTATTTCTTTGGTGTTATGTTCAAATCAAAAGCGTATTTTTAACATAACCCGCTTAATACGGACATATACACATATTTTTGCAATGACCCCCTTAAGATGTCCCTAATAACGAGGTCTAACTGTGACTATATTGAAAATGAACCGTCGTCAAAGTCAATCCAGTCTTGAAAATGCGTTTTACATTCTTAGTCCTAAAATAGAGTAGAGAAATGTGACGTCACAAAAATTCACATTTGTGAGATTATGGGATTGGTTGCAACCCAGATTCAGAAAGAAGAAGAAGATTAAAAAAGCCCCCTTGCCAAAAAAAATCAGCCTGCTTGTGCAAACTGATGGGAACATATAAACACCATTAATCTCCAATGACTCTATACAAATCGTTTTTAAATTTCTTATTTCTTTTGAAGGATTTTCATGCAAGGAGTCATGAAGGCATAACAGCGCTTCTCTCTCCCTACCAGTTTGTTGTTCTTTCAGGATATGCCAACTACTCATGTGCACAAATTGAGTTTTTGTGACATCATCACTTCTCTTTGTTTATTGAAACATACTATACATCCCACAGCCCTATCCATCAGGCCCTAGTTCTTCAAAAGGTGGATAATAGTCTATCCACTAGAAAAATCTCTATCCAATGTATAGCGCAATTGGTTTTCCTAATACTTATCTGCTGAATAGTGATTTAGAGCAATTTTCAATTTAGTGTTGAAAGTAATCCGGGATTGCATTAGTTTTGCTTTACTGTGCTCTGTGAGTGGTCTAGAAAACTCGCGCCACCTTCTAAGCCAATCAGATACAAAACTAAAACCAATCGCGACTTGGTTACTCGCGTTTTCCCGCGCTTAAGGTCGGTTACATGCGTTTACTTCGATTTCTCATTGGCTTCCTCTGATATTTTTGTTTGTTCTGATTGGCCGTTGTGATTACTTTGGTTTTGGTTTACGATACTCAATCGAAAAGCGCTCTATCTAGTGGATAGTGCTATTCAACGTCTGAACAACCGAGGCCAGATAAATAAGTTATTACTATCCAGTGGTTGCAGTTATTGGATTTCCTAATTGTAAACTTATCCACTGGACAGTGATTTATCCAGCAAAGAGGACTTTCCAACTGTTAAACAACTAGGACTTGGTACTTGTCCCTCTTTTGGACAACCAGGCAAAGAGTTCTCCATGTAGTCCATTTCATTGTTACCAACAGAGAGTGTATCAGTGCTAAAACCTCCTACCATGGAACATGAATGCGGAATCCACGACGTGGAATCACAGAATACAAGACTTGGATTCGCTGACATTAGGCGAGATTTCTCATGAAGAGTTTCTAGCACAGGTTTCGAACAGGCCTTATGCTTTCCGATCTTCAGCAAAAATCCAAATTCAACTGAAACATACATTCTTCCTCTGCAATATAGGTTGTCTAAACCTGGCCAAGGGCCGAATATTAAATTCTTACCTGAAGTGGAGTCAGTGAGGAAAGCTGTGGAAGAACTGAAGCAACAGAACATCAATAAAATCATCGCCGTTGGTCACGCGCGTATAGACATAGACAAACGAATAGCCAAAGAGGTTGATGGAGTGGATATCGTGGTAGGAGGTCACACAAACACATTTTTGTACACAGGTACTATAAAATCTACGGTAAACCCTACAAGAAAGGTACAACATTGCTGCAAGAAAATCTGAGAAGCAAGCTGCTGGGGTGGTAAAACGCGCAACATGTACAGATTTTGCTGCAAAAAGTAGAACTACTTCCCGCTACTTTTGGCAAATAACAACTTTTTGCAAAGTTGCAATTGAAAGCAGATTTCACGTCGTAGTGTGCGGTGACAGCACAGAAATGTACCGAAAAGTGTGACGCATGTGCAAAGTTGTTGCGGTTGTTTGTTTTCGTTTTTATCAAACTTTTTTTTCTGACGTTCCCGTCACGTAACCATTGTCGTTGCTTGTGGCTCTATTTTATCCCAGCAGGGGCAGCCATTAACAGCGTTTTCTTTACAGCAGTGATCAGTCGTCTTTGTTAGAGCTTATTATCTCGACGTAATATTCCCCGAGCGAAAGTTAAGGCCATCATCCGCGAGTGACGCTTTGCATAGCTGAGTCGATCCACTAAAGAATCCAACCAGTTTTATACGAATGTTTATTTCTTCAAATTTATAATTAGTAAATTGTTGTTTACTGAAATGGCTGTCTTTCGGAAGGGCTTTCCTGGTATACCGCGATTTGACCAAAATACAGTGGGGATTCGGGAATACAGGATTTGACTGGTACCGGAAAGCCAGACTCGCTAAAATTTGGGCATAGGATGGGGAATTGGGAAAGTAAACGATATTCGGGGTAGCGATGACAGACGTCTGGGATACGGGATTCTCGTGAAAAAGAAGAATGAGGAATCAGAAACCCTCCTTCCAATCACTTTAAATGTGTCAAAATGTGTCTAATTGCAAGCGTCTTCCTTTGTTTCAATCAGGAAAGCCCCCCTCAACAGAAATACGTTACGGTAAATACCCCCTGGAGATGAGGTCAAAGAGCAACCCACTGTCCAAGAAGGTACTGGTGGTTCAGGCGTTTGCTTACGGAAAATACCTTGGGAATCTGACAGCTGATTTTGATGACAATGGTGATTTGACCTCCTGGTCTGGTAATCCAAAACTGTTGGACAATTCTGTAGCCCAAGACCCAACAGTTCTGGGACAGGTTCAGCAGTGGAAGGCTGAGGTGACTAAAGTTTCAGAGGTAAGGAGTGATGATATTTTAAATTATTTTCTGGTGATCTTTGCCAGTTTAGACCGACCGATATCTCAGAATGATACCACTTTATATCACTGGCGCCAGTGACTGAATTTAAGACAGTTAAGAATTGAGAAAGTCCACTTTTGTAATTTTTACTATCTATTTAACCACTGATTTAACACATACGACATCAGGCGCTCTGTAGACAATAAAGTTATTTTGTTCTGTTCTGTTCTGTTCTGTTCGCAAACCAGACTACGAAACCTGAAACTTATATATCGGTGTCTAACGCGCTAAAGTATGATATTGATGATGGAACATTGGTGTAGCCTGTTCCAGGCGCTCATATGAAAAGAAGAGCACAACAAGAAGTGAGCAGGAAAAACGAGAAGGAGGGGAGGGGGGCTGGGGGGGAGGGCGGGTTAATTAGAGGGAGCGAAAGACACGCGTAAGTGGACGAGATATTTAAGGAAAGAATCAGTATGAATCAAAAAATTGTTTCGTCTTGCAGGTCCAAGTGGGTTCAAGCTTTGTTTTCCTGAATGCAACGAAACCAGGTTGCATGCTCAAAGAATGCAATTTAGGAAACGTTGTTACAGATGCTATGGTCTTCCATTACGCTCATCTATCAGCCAGTGAAGAACAGTGGACGGATGCTAGTATTGCGCTTCAAAACAGCGTGAGTATTACTGCATCTATTACCGTCAGTGCACAAGGTACTGCAACAAGTGTGCTTATGAACACAAGCTATACGCTTCGATTTAATCGTCATTTTTTGCAAACGCGCTGGCTGGGGTGAGGACTCGACGAATGTTAAGAGGTCTTAAGAGAAAAGGCGGACTGCAAGCAGTCTATTCAATGTGGTCAGTGACTAAGGAAAGTAAGGTTGCTCAGTATACACGTGCGCGATTTTAGTCTTCTTCTTTGTCAAGGAGACAATCAAACAAACTAGTTAAATCCTGAAGCATGTCGCCCTGCCTCGTGCCCAGGTGTTCTTCTTTGCCCTTGCATTACGCGCGTGGTGTCTTAAGACTGATGCACCACCAGCCTTGACTTATTACATCCATCCCATTACCCATGACCCTCAAGCATTCTCCCATGCATCCACGCGATAGTAGCGCCTGGTGACAGGGCACCAAGTAGCTGCAGTAGCCAGCTTTAAGCGCTGGAAAATGCATTGAGCAAGTTGTTTCGGTTTACTTCTGATTGGCTGAGAAAGTCGCACGATATTCTTTAGCCCATCACAAATCGTAGCGATAAAAAGTCTAAGGAATCACTGTTTTTCTTAACCCCTCATTGAAAACAGGTCATATCCTTGAGTCAGCGCTTTTTTTTACTCTACGGCTTTTATAAACACCCAACTTGCCTTAATTGTTCGAAAGACAATCTCTCTGAAGTTATTACCAACTTGCTTCGGCCACAAAATATACATTTTGTCTCTCTAATTTATTCAAATACGATTACGTATGGTCACGTTTTAAACAGTTTCCCTTACAAGAACACGGTAAATCTGGTGGAATTAAAAGGAACGGACCTCCTCAAGGTTTTTGAGCGAGTCGCATCTATGTACAGTAAAAGAAAGCCTAGTGTATCATTCCTACAAGTTTCAGGTAAACTATTTTTTATTCACCACCCTGATAGAAATAGGGTTTGCTTAAAGGACGTTTTAAAAGCAATCACGCAGCAATATCAGCGAAAACGTTATATTAAAAGGTGAATTACTGCTGTTTCAAACTTCATTGCGGTTATTCCTTTCCGATCAATTTGTAAAATTAGGCGAGCTTTTCTAGATTTGAATTATTAAGGCCGTATGCAACTAGAAAGAGAAAAAAGAAATGGTCGTCTTTTGCTAAGGCCCTATTTATAATGGAGAAAACTTATCCCAGGTAGAAGGATCACTCACCTCGTCCGCAGTCGTATTCGCGCAACGCACGCGGCGGGAGCACGGAGAGATAGTGAAAGACGACTGGGGACGAGTCAGCGCCCGCCTACCCGAGCTTCTCTGGCCGAGCCACCTTTTCATACATTTCCTTACAAAATTTGGCGAACCGTTTACATGAGAAACAAAAAGTTGACTCGGATAAAACTGTGCTTGTTTGATAGTAGGCAGGGTCAGTCAACTCGGTCAAGGCGAGACAATCCGGCAGAGTGTGCGCGAGCACTGTTGCAAAGGGGTAATTAACTCTTTTCTAATATAAACGCTCCGCCACTTTAGTTGACTTCACTGGTGGTGACCCTCTTTCCCGAGACAACTTTTTTCTCCATATCAAGGGGGTGTAACTTCCTTCGTAAACGTGAAATTAGCAAGAAATTTTTACAACAAATGTTCCGAAAATTCTAGATCTCAAATCGTCTTCCGAACAGATGTTTTCCCTAAAATTGTCGTTGGGTGCCCCTGACGTAGACTACGCATTTAGACCACGTGTTTCAATGTTTGTATCCTTGTGAGAAATAAAAAACTATGGAGCAGTATACCTGCGCTGGACTCCAAATCGGGAGGTCTGGGTTTGACCCCTGGCCGGGGTCATATGTTGTTTTCTTGGGCAACTCACTACTCTCACTACCCTAGCCAGGCCCCAGTTGTTCAAATGGTCGATAGCGCTATCTACTGGATAAATCTCTTTCCAGGCGTGTGTTTCTCAAAATTGCCGAAAACGGTTCGGACCCATAGCTGCGGGAAAGGTGTTGTTGTTTACATTAAAGAAAGAGGTTTCAGTAGTTTTGCCTATAAACATAATAAAACTATCAGTTAACAAAACAAAAAGGACTGGTTTGTTAGGTTCTATTGCTATCTTTGTTCATTGTTTTCCCAACCAATCCCGTGAGGTCTTCCGAGAGCTGCCTCGTCGCCGTTTTGTCAGATATAAACCGCGCTTTTATCATTTAGATTTTGATTTAAATTCCGGTCCGAAGGCTTACCGGGACTTTCGAGAAAGGGCACCTGGCCCCAGTTGTTCAAAAGTTGGATAGCGCTATCCACCGGATAAATCACTACAATATACCCAATGGATTACCGGTACGTATTACGAAAACTAATTGCGATATCCAGTGGATTAACTGCCCTTTGCAGATCAGACATTTAGATTTAGATGGATAGCGTTATCCACCTTTCGAACAACTGGGCCCAGAAGTATCAACGGGTACGGGCAAATTAAATGCTAGGGGTGACCCTGCAATGCACTAACATCCCGTACGGGTTAGGAGGAGAAGTGTTTGCTACGGACACGTGGAAATACGAAAATGCGCGACAGGTTTCTTTCCCAAACTCCTTTGCGCGCGCCCTTTTTCGCGCTGCAAGCATTTTTTTTTCACGAATAGGTTCAACAAACCCAGGGGCAAATAGAAAGCGAACTAGATGCACATCAATTATTACATGATGACGACTTTTCTTGTCATCGCTTTGTTTATTTATTTATTTTTTGTACTAAACAGACAGCTATGTTACATTTTTCAGTGCTTACATAACCAGCACGCGTTACATCGATCAGTGCTCAACTGTGACAACGAGATGTGTGCGTTAAAGACCATACTGAGCAAGAGCGAAAGAATTACGCTGCAGAGTTTGTGAGTTAGACTTGAAGTTACAATAATTCACAAACCGCGAATACAAAATAGAATTTTGCCCCCAGATCTTCTTAGTGTAAAACGCTCGCCACCAAGCACTAATCTACCCTTGAAAAAGAACCTTGAAAAAAGGCAATTCCACAAATGGAACTAAGGCCTGTTTCAAATAGTTTGCACGCTTCTTGGACTCGCAGCAGCTATTAATCCATATCCATGAATAAAAATGACCGATTTATGACGCCCCCGGTTCCAATTCTGCCGCAGGTGTGTCGAGTTCTTCATCATTGTAAATGTTCTCAGCCTAAAATAGGAAAATGTGTTGTGTTATGGCAATTACATGTATTACAATAACATTAGTTTATGGTACGTACGGTTTACGGTCATCTCGCCCCAAAAAGACAAATCGAGTCTAATAGACGCCCGGGGGGGAGGGGGGGACTCCGCATATGAAGGTGGTACGGATGCTCGTCGGAAATTTTGAATTAAACCCCTAAAAGAGACCGATCTGGGCGTGGCCCAAGCTTTTTTTGACCCCTAAAAGAGACCATGTTAAAACACAGACAAATGAAAACAATGGACAAAGACGTCTTCTTTAGGTATTGATGTTATAGAAAACTTGGATTATATGAATGGAGTAAATAAGACGAATTAAAAATATACATATCAAATATATGTTTTTGACATTTTTTCGCGTGCAACCCTAAACGAGACCTTCACGGCTAAATATGATGGCGTTTTGCCCAGAACACCCTAAGTGAGACCAAAATCCGAAATTTACACCCCTAAGCGAGACGACGAGCATCCGTACCACCTTCATATGCGAAGTCCCACCCCCCGAGAATTGACGATCCTTACGTACACCTACTCATGCTCTTAATACTCTAAACACTTTATTGTGTTATTATCATTTTGCCATTTGTCAAAGTTTGAGCAAGAAGAAACCAAGGAAATAACGCAGGTTTTGTTTGACGCTCACCATTTGCCAAACTTGCATGATGTTGTCCTCAGAAACACTACAGAGTACCCACGGTTCATTAGGATTCCATGAAAAGTCTGAAATTTTCGCTGTGTGACCACCATGAATAAACTAAAAAAGGAAAACAGAAGAATAGATAAGACTAAATCAAGGCAAATAAAAAATTCTTGACGTAATGCACTAGTTTAGTAGCCCACAAAGATGAAGTCCAGTGTTTGGGATTTGATAACCACAAGTTAAATGAAAAACGTCCAAAGCTTCTTTTCTGTATTTGGGTTCAACAGTACAAGTAGTGGAGTAGCTCTTCCAGAACTCGATTTTCATTGGCCTAAATAAGCAGTAGCTTCGTTTGTTTTAAGGGCTAGCTAGGGGTATTGTTTGGGTTAAATCATCTGTTGTTTCGTTCTCCAATCACAGACCATGTCTGGAGAGCTACTGATCTTCTCAACAGTACTGGGTTCAACAGTACACTTAATTAATACAACTGCAGCTAAAATATTTCAGCCAAGTTGTAACAGATGCACTGCGATAACCGGGGCATGTGACGTGCTACTTACCAGAAGTTCTGGTGGGCCATCCTCTGCATCTTCAGATGACTGTTCTTCACCAATTTTACTACAAGAGTCAATAAAAAAACAAATTAATTAATTGCCTTTCGAACCCTTGTTTCCAAAATATTGTACTCTGGGTACCAGTGGTTTTTTTTTTCTTTTTTTTTTTTCAGCCATTGAGTGCAACAGTGAATCTTTCAGGGTCACCTGCAGGCCAATGCAACCAGAATCCGTGCGCGAAGTCTCTGACACCTTCAGTACCAATTTGAAAAGTGACCAAAGGAAAAAACAAAGAAATAAGAAAGGAAAAGAAAAAGCAATCCCAAAATGCACACTAAATAAAGCAAAACATCCCACCTAGTAAAAAGTACAAGGGACAAACATTCTGTCAAACTACAAGAGTTTCATGAGAGACAAACCACCTTTCTGTTCAATTCACTCAAAGAGCAAATGAATGAAGATGCGGACTGAGGCCTCAATTTACTTCTGATCTAAAATCAAATTTTCTCCTTGACTCACAAACATATAAAAGGCAAATTAATGCAGAAATATAGAAGTCCTCTAACAGCACCCAGAGGCCTTTTAATCCCGGGAGACTTGAAGAACTTAGTTTTTTCCTAGAAATCATATACTGGGCATCCTGGATTTCACATGTTCAGAGCACTGAGCTGCCTTCAATTTTTCTTAGAGCACAGGCCTTGATCTAGCAGTATATGAAGAGTGATAAGTTTGCAAGCAGGTTCTCTGGACTGTGGGGTGCATGGGAGAATATCCTACTCAACATTTTACAAACTTGAAATTTTGCATAATTATGCTGCCCTTACGAGTAAAACAGCAACATGAGCTACATGTGCAATAAAACTGTACCTTAAGTCCCATACATGTAGTCTACGGTCTGTGCCGCTGGAAGCTAAAATTGTTTCATTATGAGGAGACCACTGAACCTGTGATCACATTAAACATAAACATGTTCAGAGACACTCAATAAGAATGTCATGACCGTATAGTTCATTTTGTCAATATTGCCAATTATGATTTCTTATGTGCTCTAGAATTTAACATTGGCAAAGAAAATACTTTTAAATCATTATGATAACATCACAGCTTCTTGCCCAACAAATTATACCTCACGAGTATATTTATTTCTAACATTACGAACAACAAAAATGAACTTGAGAAAAAACCTACTATTGCAATCTGTTCTAAACTACTTCAAGTTTGTCTATCTGTGCCTTTACAGCAAACCTGTACAGCATCAGTCAGGTTTTAAGACATGAAAATAACATTTTCAGTTTTTGGAAAAAAACAATTTCCTGTCAATTTCAGAAATGGTCAGAATTCTTCAAAATACTTCAGATCAACTTCAGATGCCAATAGTAGAGTGGAGTGATATGACAAATTGAGTGGCACTTCTCCTTACTGTATTACTTTCAAACAACCACAAGTCAATTGTGTGCATGCTTTTTTACAATAACGTCAGTAAATGGCTTACCTGGAATATTTCATCTTTGTGTGATTCAAATGAATGTAGTTTAAGCTTGAGATTGCGTAGATCCCATAGAGCGACAGTCTGCGATGTACAGAATACACACAAACAAAAGCAATAAATATTACTTATGAACCTGACGTGAATGGTGATTCCTTAGAGTTAAGTCAGCAGATCTAAAGCTAGTCTACTGAGAAAGGGAATTGAATTTTAAGTTGAACTGACACACACACCCTACTTAACTTACGGTACTTAATTTGCGTGTCAACAAGGAGCTCAGCTGAGAAAACATTATCAAAATTACAACTTTGCACATGCATCACACTTTTGCAGTAGTTACATGGCTAGGATGAGAAAATAACCACTTTCATGTTTCAAGGAGGAAGTAAACACAAACTTTTCTTTTTTGAAACACAAGAACAGAACTTCAGAAAAATTTGCCACCATAAATGACAAATTGACTGAGAAAGATTACCGGTAAGAGCAATGAGGTTTAATACTGCAGAGCAAATTCACCCTTTAAGTGACGTTTCAAAGCCATCATGGTTGCTTAATTAAGCTCCCTAATGTATTTAGCATGTCCAAGTTATGTGAATTAGGTCTAGCCATTTGCAAGAAAAAGGTAGTAAGTAATTCTTCCTCCCGTAATTTTTCTACTAGGACCTCGAGTACTACTGGTCTAGCCCTGGGAATTGAACCTGGGACTTATGGCACTGCAGGCCAGCACTCTACCAACTAAATGTATCCATTGAAAGGGAACACCTTGGCATTTTCTGGCTTCAATGTTGGATGCTAGATAAATTTGTCACAGTTTTGTATCAGTGCCTCATTTTATTTTTTTTATTACCAGCTGTATTGAACCTTGTATCTGTACAGAGATGTTTTTTTACCTTGTCTGCAGATCCTGTTGCAAGGATAAACTCACTGTATGGATTAAATGATAGACAATTTACCTAAAAAAAAGGACAATAAATTGGCATAATATTAAACTGATGGCCACAAGCTTCTGTGGAAAGCATTCAAAAGTAATTTTTGTTGAAGCAGCTTTTGTAGGACACCAGACTTGCAATCTGCTGGTCCCCAACACTAGATGCATGGTCCCAAGCTAAACTCTTCAGCCATGCTGTTTAATAATCAACTAGTTTAGAACCTGCTAGCTGAAGTTTTTAACCACGTCATACTTGACTTGGGATTATTTTGTAGAAAGGGTTCATGGAATAAGGTCTTAAGTAACTCTGGCATGAATATGAAGTTTCTCTATACGATTTACAATAATGTACAAGGTGAATTGGGAGGAGAATTTAGTGATTTATCAGAAGTCACTTGGAGCTTTGTTCCAAGCACTCCTACTATTTTGTTGGTACTTACTTCTGCAGTATGAGCATCTACAGTGTGAGTTGCTTTGGAGGCATTGGTTGAACGTGTGTCCCAGCTGTGTAAAAATATTAAAATATAACTTTAGTGAAAGCTACTGGTCTTGCTGTTAATTCCTTAGTCAATTTTATATAAAAAAATCCTAGAGCCAAAAATTAAAAAGAAAACTTTTTTAATTACCCTTACATGGTAGTTTTACTTGGTTTTTCAACATTTTCAGTGTTGATAAACAGAGGCTGCAACTACCTTCCAGAAAAAGTACATGTGTAACTCTTTGTTTTTACTATAAGACTTGCTTATAGATGCTTTACACAGTAGAGAGCCACATTAGACATACATCACCAGTACAATTAACTTACATCATAAGCTTGTGGTCATCTGCCACTGAACCAAACAAACTCTCATGCAAAAGATGCCATGATACATCCTATAACAACACAGACATGTTAGGGAATAACCAAGAAATAGGAAATAAAACTTGCTTTAAAATTTTCCCTGTAGAAGTGCAAAAGGCTATCTAGTAGTTTACACACCAACATTTGATCTCATCTTGAGGCCCTGTTTCAGTGTTCACTGAAACTGTCTCTCTAACTCCACCCAACGTATAATTATTTGAAACTGTTTTGCATTTAAAACTCATAGATCAAAATACATGTAGATGAAAACAAGCTTGAGGCAGCACTTCACTTCCAATATGCAGCCTCTAGTAATAACACTTCACTGGGTTTTTGGTATTTGCTGAAAATGCATTCATTATAAAGTTTGTACCTCAACAACAGCTGTGTGTCCAGTAAATACTCTCAAAGCATCCATAGTCTTTGCTTCCTAGAGTAAATATTAAAAACATAGAATGGGTTATTCCAGAAAAAATCCACACCCCCCCGACGGATGGGGTCCTTTTTTAACCCCCCCTCTCACCTGGATTTCCTGAAGCACAAGACCCCCCTCCCAACTGGATTTCCAAAGTGGAAGACCCCCCCCCCGCCTGGATTTCCGGAAAAAAATAAAAGGCTTAAATTTAATTTATTTTTAATGGAAAATACACGCAAAACACGTCTAAATGTTTTTTGTTTTAATTTCTAAAGCTTCAGCTTATATTAAACTAAGAATTCTATCGCGTGGAACTAAAAAAACGAAAGGAGCAAAAAAAAAAAAATGCGAACAACACCTGAACGACTGTTTACATAATTTCTTAGCTTATAAAAATCAGTGACCTTTTTCTTTCTTTGCGCTAAATATGAATATCCATTCCTTTACGAGACATAAGGCAGCCGGCAGAATGGATGACTTCATTTGCACATCCTACCTTCAAGATCTGTAGTTCTACTGTGCACTGGAAGGGAAGTTCAAATTCGCGTTATAAACAGCTTTCTTTATAGTCCGCCATAGTTACAAAGGTCGTTTAAAACTTTTGTTTAAATCGGAGAGGCAACAGTCATGCTGAAGAGAATGCAGCCAAGACAAAAGCACTTGAAATAGCTCCCATTCACGAAATGAAATTTTAACATGTTCATCCAACGAATTATTTTAAAACCGGATTAAGATGGCTTTCAGATTCATCCAAGTACAAAGTCCGCTATGAACAAATTCTTCACCAGGCTCTTGCAGATTTGGTGCCTGTTTGTTTTGTTCTCTCAAAAAAACTATTAATTTTTGGGGACATTTTTTCATATTTGAAAAAGAGGCAAACTAGGCTGATAATTTAAAAAGTAAACCTTAAAAAATACAAAGTGCGAATGCGAACGTGAATCAGTTGTTTTTTTTTTTTGTATTTACACCAAACAACCGAGATTTCAAAGTTATACACTGTGGCGCGCAGGCTCTGGGTACGCAGTAGAAATGTGTCAGGCGTTTGACGCTCTTCGTGACAACAACGTTGCGGACGAGTTCCTTCAGGCCCGTTCTTTAGTATCTTGTTCGCGTTTTCTGCTATAAAAGGACCTGTAAAGCAACTTAGATTATCATTTATGTCAAATGAGAAATATATGAACAAAACATTTTGACTATTTTCAGGGTCTGAAAGCGCTTAAGTGTCATCGAACTAAACGTTTGATTTGTATCAACTATCGGTCGAAATGACCCCTGCAGAAGACTTTTTTAAGGTCAACCCCCCCTCCCGCCTGGATTTCCGGAGTCTTCGACCCCCCCTCCCACGAGAATTTCCAGAATCCCATCCGTCGGGGGGGTGTGGATTTTTTCTGGAACAACCCAATGCACACAAAATAATAAATTTGTTCATTTTAAATGGAAAAAAACAATGCAGTCAGAGACGGTTTGTCCTTTACACAGTGTAGTTGTCTATCTACCAAAAATACATGTAGTAAGGACATGCTATACCTTTGCAACAGTGCTAATATCCCAGAGGCAGACAGTCTGTTAAAAGAAAGAGATATCAGTGAATATGTCTTATCCTAGTACAAAAAGCCAATGAAGCTTTGGCATAATGCACTTATACTAGATTAAAAAATGACTTATATTGCATGTTTACAGATAACGGTATGCTTAACAAAAGTAAATAAAACTAAAGAGTACAAGCAAGAAAACCCAACTGTTATGCAATCATCAAAATGCCCAAATATACAAAAAAGGAAAGCATTATAAGACCTAGTGGCTAACTATGGGAAAGAAAACAAATTACTTATGCACATTAGCCAAGTTCCCACACTAAAACCTAAAGTAACTATAAGAAAGCTATTGTCCTACAAGGCTCAAAATTAAAAAAATCCTCAGGTCGCCTTTTGGCAACCAACTGGAGAAATATGGTCGCCAGATGCAGATTTTTAGTTGCCAGTTTGTTTGATGTAAATGATGCAGCTCATAGTAGGACGCAAGCCATCAGATTTGATTGTTTGAAAATATCTCGGACAGAAGTCAGTATAAATTTGGAGGTAAACTGGCTTATGACAAAAGCAAAGCAAGCTAAGATAAAATGTTTGTTTTAACTTTACTCCCTTGATTTAGATCTAAATAATAGCTCTAGAAATATGGTCGCCACAGTGGCAACTAAACCATATTTTTTAGTTGCCAAGGAGAAAATGTTAGTCGCATTGGTGATCGTATCAGTTGCAATTTAGAGCCCTCTCGTAAGAATCACAATTAAGCAATTTTGTTTTACTCGGGAAAAAACAACTACAGAAAAACATTCAGTCATGCATACAAAAAAGGTTTAAAGAATTTCAGTTTCTTGTAATATATTACATGTAGCTTGTGTAATGCCTCTCTACAACAGAAAATACAGAGAGAACACCGACAGAAGTGTTCTATATGTAGCTGTTCACTTCAGCACAACTTACATAATCATCTGATGCACTCAACAGATTTCCATTAAGATTGGGATTCCATGACAGTCCATACCCTTCTTTGGTATGGCCCTTGAGTCTTATGTCAGGTCGACACTCTCCATTGGGATCTAACAATAAAAACAAACATAAAAAACCTGAAACCTTGGTGTAGACTTCTTGATAACAGAGTAAAGTATGTCCCCTGAGACAATCATAAATAATGTAGAACATAACTAGGTAAAATATCTTAAAATTCAAACCTGGTTTTGAAGGGTGTTTTGTGTAGTCAAAAACAAGGACATCTGCTGTTGGTGTCTTGGTTGCAATGATACACGGGTTTTGAGGCATGTACCGGGCCCTATAATAAAGGAAATAAAGGTTAAATAATAATAATACTTTATTCAAATACATATATGCACATAAACATGATACATGATACATATTTGAAAAGGTGGACCACAAGGTTATCCCCATAAAAGGTCCCCTGACTGAACTTTAAAAATATCGAAAAATAATAAAAAATGCACGTAAAAATCATTAGTGCAGGTACAAAATGGTACAGAACAAACTATAAGAATGATATTTAAATTGAAAATATATAAAATTAAAATATGAGCTACTGTGTTACTTGTTTATGTAAAGAAACAAATACAGTGTGCAAAGAAAGTCAGTTTTACAGCTTGACCTGGCTACATGTAGCATGCACTAGACCATGAGTCATTTTAACTAGCCAGAAAAAATCTGATGAGCAACAGTTCTCTGCAATTTGAATTACCCATAAAACTTTACTTGCCCATCTGGCAAGTTAAGAGCAGCATTCACCAGCCCAATAGCAAAATCCACCAGCCCCAGGCTGTCAGACACTACTTTCTTTGGACACTGAAATAGCAACGTCACACTTTCTGGAGTTGGATAATTTACCTGTTAACTTCTCCTTCATGGTTGATTTTAATTTCTATTTCAATTTTTCCACTTACAGAACCAAAACCACCAAACTCTGCAAATAAAAACATTAGACATAATGTGATACTCTATAAAGAAACTTTACTTGGCCAAGCATGCCTAATGTTAAGTACAGCATATGTTTGCTATGCGGCCACAAAACAACATTTTTACTTACTCAAAGTGATGCAGAGACAGTTAACTAGTTAACAAGAGAGCTAGGCTGTGATCAATCTAAAAAGTTGTTTTGGACTTTGCAATCTGACAATCTTAAAATGCAAGCTGTTGTACCTTGCTTATCACTATCATAGTGACTCGTGTCCAATTGTGCATCATCATGAGGAACTTGAACACTTGCTATCACCAAGTGGTTTTGTTCGTCTGATCTATAAATAATTCAAATACATGAGTATGTCACAAGGCCAAGAGCATAATGTTTATTGTTGTCTTCTTCAAGGCAGTAACATGTAAAACAAAATTGAGCTACATACGTATGGGTTCCAAGAATGATCCTGTGAACAGAGTAATCCTTTCCCTCAGGTCTGTAAGAGTACAGTGAAAAGATAATTCAAGATAATTTATTGTTTTAAGATTATCAGAAGATAAAAAATAAAAGGACTTCCATTACTTTCAAATTATGGCCTTGTAGTCAATGTGCACTTCCTGAGACAGCAGCCTTAATGAAACTAATACAAGTCCTTAAATTTACCCATTCGAGGGGAAATTAATGGTCTTAAGGTAAGCGCATTTTGAAGGATACCTACTTTGGTGCCATTTGCGGGGATGCGTTGCATTGCCTGCTCATTAGCCGCAGGTGTAAATTGTGTTCAAAAAGATAAGTGCATGGTTTGTAATTCGAAGCATTCACCCCTGGAGATTTGGCTATCTGCTTGGTCACTTGGCTATCTC